TGTTAAAGACCATGTGCTTTCCTGTTTTACCTGTCAGGAAAGGAAAGCACCAGCAACAAGAGGCAGAATTCCTTTAGAACGATGCCAACTCTGTAAGCCCTTCATATGAAGAAATAGGTTGTGCCAGTGAAAGCTCATGATACCATCTAGATGTTGTGTTAGTCTCTAAGGTGCTGCAGAACTATTTATTGTTTTTTAAGTTGTTTCAGTTACAGACTTAAATGGCTACCCCTCTGAGACTTTCAAGCCCTGGGTGTTCATACAGATTAGATTGGAAAGGCTCATTGCCAGAAACACCATTTGGAAATTAGTATGTGCTGGTAGCGTCTGACACCCCAAAGTATGCAGTTGTGTAACCACTGAAGGATAAGGGACTGTGCAGCTGAATTGATGAAACATGGCCAAAGTACATCCGCAGTGATCAGGGAAGGAATCCGGTTGTTACAGGAAGTTTTATGACAACTCCAGGTAACCAAAGCGAGGACCTGAAAGTAAAGAGAGACAGAGAGAGTAAACTGCACCATTGACTCCGTATGTACAGTCTTTGTCAGTGAAAACCAATGAGACTGGGATAAAGTCACTTTTCTTTCATCCTTGCAAAGCACCCAACCCTTTCCATTACTCTACTTGTGAGGTTATTTTCGGACTCTACACACTCATACTTCCCTGTGACTCGATGTTCAGGCAGAAAGAACTGGCAAGATCCCCTCCTGCTAGGCAGGTGGGTGATATGGCAGGATTTGATTACAGTGACCTGAGGACAGCATTCCATAAGGTGGAGGAACAGATGAGCATGTCAGACACAAGATGCCTGGAAAAAGGAAAATTATGTGCCCATCCAGAAAGGAGAGAAGATGGCTGCCTGACTGGAAAAAGCAGCCTGGAACCCCCCCCCCCCCCCCCCTTTTTTTGGAGAAGATTTTGTTAGCTTATCCTTAGTGATACAAAAAGCAAGATCTCTTCACTTTGAAGTGCATCAAAAAACTGGAGCGCACAGTCACTAAAAGAAAGGGGAAGGCAAACACTGAGGAGAGTTAATAGTTATCCCAGAAGGATATAGAGGAGGATTTGGAGGCACCCCCAGTAGGTTCCTGTGACTCATAAGGAGAGAACAATTGTAGAGGAGGGATTGGTGGGAGGTTTTTGGGATGTCAGCACAGGATATCTTCAGCAGGCAGTCTGTGTACAACAGATAGACCTGGTGTTAAAGGACACGAACCCTGCTGCCACTGATAATCTACATCTAGCTATGGATGAGGTGTCAGTGACTGAATGATGGGCAGACCAACACAGAAACCTTCATGGATGGCAAACAACCTGGGTTCCTAGGAGTTACTGTTTTTAAATTCTTATTTAACTACCGGCGGGGAAGTTATAATGATTAGTGTAGACAGCAACTCTAGCAGTCTGTGGTGCTATGTCTTTATCATAGTGTTAAAGTGTTGTGTTGTATGTTGTTGATCTGACCTGTGGGGTTAACAGAAAGTTTGGTTTTGCCTGCTTCTGCTGGAGTTGGTAATTGCAGTCAACTCCCAGTTGGTACTCCAATAAATCCCCAGGGGTCCAGAAGTGAGCGTTACCACACTATGCTGGTCTACACTAGGAATTTACATATCTCTTAAGGTTGTGAAAAATCCATGCCCACGAGAGGCATAGTTATACCAACCTAGACCTGGTGTAGACAGTGTGAGGTCTATGAAGTAATTCTTCTGTCAACCTAGCTACCGCCTCTTGGGAAGGTGGATAGCTTATGCTGGTGGGAGAATCACTCCTGTGGGCATAGGTAGTCTGCACACTGAAGCAGTACAGCTGCAGCTGCACCACTGTAGAAACTTAAGTGTAGATGAGCCTTAAATGAAGATTAGGTTTCCTAATGAATCTCACATGGCTAGATGCGATTGCTCAGCATGGCCATATACTACTGCAGAACCTTTCGGTGCTGTCACTGCTAGTCTGAGTGTGGCCCAGGTTAGTGGTCACTGACCTAAGTGAGTGAGTGACCTAGGAAGTTTTGTTGGAAGTTGGTCATGGAGCACAAAATCTTTTCATGTGTACCACAGAGCAGGCACCGCATGGGGGTAATTGATGGAAGCGGCTATTCTGTGGTTCACGTGAAAAGATTTTGTGCTCCATGACCAACTTTCTATTGGACAGCTTTTCTATCACCAGTTTTGGTAGCCTGCCAGCCAGTCTCAGCAAATAAAGGCTAGAACAGGCCTGGACAGCACTGTCTTGCCCTAGGATGTGATCTCTTCTATGGTCAGGCTTAAAAAAAATCATGGTTGGGTGTCAGAGTAGGTAAAACTTCACTGCTGCTGGACATACTTACTGTGTTCTGTGGATATTCTTCTCCAGTTTATGCCCCTTACATGAACTCTGGATCAGGTTAGAACACATGTCACACTATACAGCTTTTATCACATTGGTTTTATTTTTGGTTTCCTTTACCAATGCCCCTAATTACTGAAGTAACAGAAGGTTTTCTCCTGTTACTGTTGATTTGTGTGATGCTAGACAGATGGATTTATAATTGCTGGTTTAACATGCAAGCTTATGCAGAATGCTAATTTGTTCTAGTGTCATAAGTCATAGTGACCTTTACTAAGCTATATACCAGAACCTGAGATGTAAGTTACATTTCAATACACTTCAGCTCCAACATATCCCCAGCAAAAAGACCTACTAGTCTTAGATATCAGACCAGTAAAGGATGAATGTAAGCTTTTAGTAAAATCTGCTGAGTCATTACAGGACTAATGATTGTAAGCAAACTGTACAGTACTTTTTCTTGTATACACCTGCTTAGGTATTTATATAGCATTATATTTAGAGACCTGAAAATCCATAGATATCTGCTTTATAGCCATGGCTCAGTTTTTGGTTACATATGTGGATGCACATTTTGTATCTGCGCAGGCTCTAATTATATTACATTGGCTGTGGTTTTAGTTCATCTTATCTCCGAAAAACAGACTTATCTGCAATTAATTGAAAGTTTAATTTGTGTGAAAGATGTGACTTAAAATAGCCACATAACCTTTCCTATGATCACCTACTGAATAAGAAGCCTCATCTTGTATCCAGTGATGTGAAGGAGAGTTTTGCCATTAACTCTAGTGAATTCAGGATTTGACAGAATTGTATCCCTGCATGGAGAGTTCGTGCAATGCTGTGCCACTCCACACATGGCATGGGAAGGAGTTGTGTCTTAAATTACTCACTGAACCTCCTAACAGACAGGATAGGTGAACAAGAAAAATATGGGCAGACTTGTGGACAACTCTGAAGGACCCGGATTAATGGGAAGCAGTAGCCAAACAGAAAACAAAATGTGGAGATGTATGAAGACTGGGGTAGGAAATAATATTGAAAATATTATAATACTTCTATATAAATTGATGCTACATCCTCATCTGGAATAATGGGTTCCGATACGGACTTTTACCTCCACATAAACAGAAATAGAAGAAGTTCAGAAGTAAGCCACGAAAATGATCCATAGGCATAAACAAACTTCAGTATAGAGTGAATTTAGCAAGATTTTAAACTCCTGAACTTAGAGGAGAGATGAATAAAATGGAAATGATAGAAAGACTCAAAATAAGAAATGATGGAAAGTAAACTATTCTTATTTACTCTCTTAGAACCCAGAAAACTAGGACAAGAAGTGAAACTGAAAAGTAGCAAATTTAAAACAGATAAAAGAAAATTAGTTTTAACATACAAGTAATTAATCAACGGAACTCATTGCAGCAATATGTTAAACCAGGGTTCTCAAACGTTGTGATACTGTGATCCCCCTCTAAGTTGCTTGCAACCCCCGGGGGATCAGGACCAACAGTTTGAGAAACATGGTGTTAGACTATGAAGATTTCAATACTGAATCAATACTGGGGTCCATGTAGTTCAGTATCCTGTCAGTATCAGATTTTTGAGAGGAAGGTGCACTCTACCTCATATTAGTTGTGGAATAATCTGTTCCCTGCATTAAGTGTCTTCCTAACCCTACTGGTTAGGATTTGTAAGGAATCTTGAAGTATGAAATTTAATATCCTTTCCCAATTGTGCAGTCCTGTAGCACCTTAGAGACTAATTATATATAGATAGATATAATTTCTATAACTATATATATTATAAATTTCATTCCCAAATGTGTTAGCATTAACTAGGATAATTCTGAATATTCTTATCTAGATAAATGTCCAGAACTCTTTTTAAATCTTGCTAAATTCTTAGCCTCAGTGATACCCTGTATTAATAAGTTCCATAATTTAATCACACATTTCATAAGAAAGAATCTCCTTATACTGTTTTTAATTTGTCATCTTTCAGTGCCACCGAATGTCCCTTTTTTCATGTAATATTAGAAAGAAACTGAGCCTCATGGTCTATCTTCTCTAGACCATTCATTCTTTGTCCATTTGTCACATCCTTTCCTGTTTGTCTCCTTTCTAAGGTAAAACTTCTCAGTCTTTTCAGTCTCATACATAGAATAGTTTTAAAAACAAATTCTGTGATACTGCCGATTGCATACACAGACTAGCCCCAGAATTGGTGAAGGCTGTCTTAACTCAGCTGCCTAAGAGGGATTTGCTATGCGTCCTGTCAAAGGCCCTGACTCAGGAGAGCAACTCTAATAAGGGAAGTACTTTAAAAATGTGCTTAAGTAGGAATTTAAAGTTAATCAGGGCCTTAATAGTCTAATAGCCTGTTTCATACCTAGGTCACAGGAATGGAAGGTAAATGGAATTTTTTGAAAGTGGTCCGAAATGAAAAAACTATATTAATAGACAATGAAAACAAGATACATATTGATTAACTGTGAAGCTTAACTTAGGAAACCTGATGGCCACGTGCAATTTGGGGGGTTGACTTACTTTGTATTTAATAAGAAAATGTTTGTATTCGATTAATTCTTTATAACTAATACTCACCATCCCAAGGTCTGCATGCTACTGTCACCTCTGTTACCAGATCTTTTGTATTGTTTATTTTATCAGGTTTCTCTGGCAATTGTGTTGGCTGTGGCAAGAAGGGCTTCTGCTACTTTACTGAATTTTCCAATCACATCAATCTTAAACTGACCACTCAACCCAAGAAACAGAAACACTTAAAGTATTATCTGGTCAGGAATGCACAAGGAACTCTTACCAAAGGGTCTGTAATCTGCTGGAAAGGAGCAGGTGAGATAATGAAACTGTCTTGTTAGAGGTCTGGTTCTCGTCTGCAGGGCTTAGATAGCACAGAGATTGGCATCTGAAAAAAAAACGAGACACAGATGAACAAAGGAGACTTTAAAGCTAGGGGATCGCTGAAGTGCAGCTGTAGAAAGCAATTGGCTAATAAAAAGATGACATGTTTGACAAACCATTCGTGCCTACTTTCCAAATATCATAGCAACTGAATCAAAATAGCTCGTTTTAAATTCTTAATTTAAATTTGCAAAGATAAAGTTCTTGTATCACTTCTCAATGGAAGGATCTTGTTTTCTCAGAGTTTAGAGGCCGACAGGCTTCATCCGGTCCTTGTTCAAGCACTTTGTTCCAGCTGCCAGAGAGTTCCGGCCCTGCACTAATCACCACCAATGAGCTTGTTCCTGCCCCAAACCCACATGCTCCTGCAGCTGGGACTCAACAAACAGGTAACCTGGAGAAGAGAAACCCACTGGGTTTCTACATATTTTGTGTGTGTTTGTAAATGAAAACACATTACAGCACAAAATGATTAAAATGTGGATGTCTGGGTTAATTAAATCAGGTAACTGGTATAATACAGGCAGTCCCCGAGTTAAGTGGATCCGACTTATGTCGGATCCGCAGTTACGAATGAGGCTTTTCTCGCCCCGGAGGATGGGAGCGGCGGGACGCCCAGATGAGCCGCGGTCCCGCCGCCCGCATTCTCCGGGGCGAGAAAAGCTGCTCCCCATCTCCCTGGTCTGCTGGTCAGACCAGGGAGATGGGGAGCAAAGCCTCGGAGGACGCCGGCAGTGGAACAGCCGCGGCGCGTCTGGGCTGTCCGCTGCCCGCGTGCTCCGCGGCTTTGCTCCCCCACC